GCAGAAGATGGGAGGAGGGAGGCAGGGTTTAATGGAGAGCAGGGCTGAAAAGAGATGGAGGGATTTTCAAGGAGAGACAAGGAGGGATAGAACCCTGGAAGGAGGAAGTGACTGTAGCCCCTTGTAAGTGAGGAAATCCTTTAGATGGTGAGGAGATGAGATGGTTAGTGGGGAGCCAAAGGTAAGCTTGTGTGCTTCTTTCTGGAGGTCATGTGCTGCTGCTAGGGCTCTGAGGCATGGGGGCCAGCCCCTGACGGTGGGGTCAAGCTGTTTGGATAGGTAATCCACTAGTGTAAATGTGGGGACATATTCCTGACCCAGAATGCCCAGACTTTGTCCCTGTTTTTCACGTACATAGAGGGTGAAGGATCAGGAGAGGTCAGGGAGATGCAGGGTGGGTGCCCGGAGGAGGGCCTTTTTAAGGATTGTAAAGGGCTTCCCTACCACTGAGAGTAGGGGTTCATCTTGGGGACCCTTGGCCAGATTACATAGCATCCTGGCAAGGAGGGAGAAATTAGGAATCCAGGCCCTGAAGTACCCAGCGAAACCTAAGAAGGAGAGTATGTCATCTTTGGTCTTTGGTGTAGGTATAGACACAATAAGCTGTTTTCTGTCTGCTGTAATGGCCTTTTTCCCTTGAGAGATAGAGAACCCTAGATATGTGACCTCTTTACATGCTCTTTGGGCCTTTTGTGGAGAGGCCCAATATCCCTTTAAGGCCAAGAAATTAAGTAGAAGAACTGTGTCATCTGTTGAGCGCCCTTTGGACGGGCTATAGAGGAGAACATCAACAAATTACAAGAGGGTGGACTTGGGGCACTGGGGGTGAAAAGATTGGAGGTTGGAGGCCAAGGTATGTCCAAAGAGGTGTGGACTATCTCGAAATCCCTGAGGAAGAACAGTCCAGGTTAGTTGTCAAGAATGTCTGGTGGTGGTATCTGTCTAGGTAAAGGCAAAAAGATCTTGTGATTCGGGGGCAAGGGGAATGGAGAAGAAAGCATCCTTTAAAGCTATGACCGAGAAGTGGGTGGCAGTGTGGGGGACCTGAGACAGCAGGGTGTATGGATTGGGAACCAAAGGATGTATGGGCCTAACGGAGGTGTTGATGAGTCGTAGGTCCTGAACTAAGTGATAGGACATGTTGGGCTTTTTTACTGCTAGTATGGGAGTATTGTAAAGGGAATGAGCAGGATGGAGGTACCCCTTGCTAAAAAGGTCCTGAATAATAGGTTGTAGGCCCAGAAGAACTTTTGTGGACAGGGGGTACTGAGCCTGATTGGGGAAGGTGTTGAGATCTTTGAGATGAATGTTAACTGGTGGGCAGGAAATGGTGGAGGGGGTGTAGTATCCCATACAATTGGGTCAACCAGGTTAGTATGGTATTTCACGTCAGCCTCACAAGTGGAGCAGAATGGCCAGTCTTCTGCCAAAAGGTCCAGAAAAGATGAACAGGCCGATTCTGGGACCTGACTGATGCCAGGAGCCCAGATGTTGATTGTTGTATTGAATTTTAAGAGAATATCTCGGCCGAGCAAAGGAACTGGACATTGGAGCATAACTAGGAACATCTGAGAGAATGGGAAGTTGTCTATGCAACAGAGGAATAGGGGAGTCTTTCTTGGATAGATGGTCTTTCCTCCTACCCCGAAAACAGGAGAGGTGGACGGCACTGTTTGCCCCCAGAATTCTGTCAGGACTGAGAAGGTAGCTCTGGTGTTAAGGAGAAAGTCAACCTTGCACCTATCCACCTGAATCCGCACCCTGGGTTCCTGTCTATTGATCATTACGACCGGGGATCCAAGGATCCATCAATCTTCAATTGCCATGCCCAGAAGGTCAGAGGGCTCGCTGGCCATAGGCCCCCTATGGGATCTAGGACAGTCAGAGCCCCAATGACCTTATTGTTTGACTTTTAGAGCATGGGGTCCGCAGAGTGCTTGGTGCAGGGCATGCCCTACGCCCAATGTCCCTCCTTGCCACACTTGAAGCAGCGCCCGGTGGGGTTTTGACCTGTGGTGATGGGTGGCGACCCGAGGAAGCACCATGCAGGGCCTGGGCGAGCATCTGAAATTTGTTGTGTTTGGCCCTGTGCTTGCAGCACTCGATTTCCTCATCCTGGTTGTGAAAAACCTTAAAGGCTACCACCAAGATCTCAGTCTGGGGGGTGGCAGGGCCTTGTTATAGCTTTTTTAGTTTGGCCTAGATGTCAGGGCAGCTCTGTGAGAGGAAATATGTCATAAGGACATGACGGCCATCTGGGGTTTCCGGATCTAAGTTAGTATACTGCTGAAGGGCTTTTGTAAACCAATCCAGAAATTCCGATGGGATCTCCTCTCGCTTTTGAATAATCTCTTATAATTTTTGGAAATTGACAGCCTTATGTGTGCCGCTTTTGTGAGCCCAGCAATAATTCATAGGGAGAATCAGTCCCTACTCTGTATGCCAGCTTGTGTATCATAATCCAAGTCGGGAGTTTGATCTGGGGCAGCAAGTGGCCCTGGAGGGTGATTGGGATTAACTTGGTGAGTTTCATCTGCATGGGCTCTGGCAAGTTCCCAGACTCTCTGGTACATTCCTCAGGAAGGAGAGTATTAGCCAATAACATATATATATGTTATGTATATATCATGGTGAGTGAGGCTATGAGTCTGGAGGACCCATTGAAACTCTTATGTAAGTGTTGGGATCTGTGGTGAAACGAGCCCAACCTTCGCTCAAGTTGCGTGAGGTCATTCATAGAGAACGGGACATGTACCGGAATAATGCCCTCAGGTCCTGCAACCTCTCTTAAGGGGGCCATGGTTTGTGGGACTAGGGAGTGGGACCTAGTTTGTGGGGGAGTAAAGGTGTCGGCCGAGTCAGGGGGAGAACCTGAGGGGCTGGTCGGAGCCAACGAGGGAGGTCGGTAGGGAAGGTAGTTCATCTGCTGGATCAAAAGAAGAGTCAGTAGGGTCGTTAGGGTAAGAGCATAGGTCAGGGTGAGAGTGAGGAAGAGGAAAAGCCTCAACATAGGGGATCTCCCTCCATTTTTACGAGCACTTGCAGAAGTTAAACAGATGTCTGAGAATTGCGGGATCTAGGGATCCTCCTGGGGGCCATTGACTTTGATTGTCCAATTGATAGTAAGGCCAATCTTGTGTGCAGAATTTAATGAGGGTCTTGGGTTTTATATCAGGAGTGAGGAATAGCTGATCCAGATTAGCCAGGAAGCATTTTAAGGGGGAGTCTGCAGGGAAGGAAGAAGAGGCCCCCATAATGGTATAACCTTAAGAAGGAAGTAGGAAGGTGGGAAGGGTCTGGACCAGAACAGAATCGGATGAGTCTCCTCACAGGCGTCCCCGCAAGGAGAGCTCGACCAATATGACTCGGGAGAGTCGGGGCCAGGAGGACGGTGGAGTCGTCACCCGAGAGTCCAGCCAGCAGGCCCAGAAAGGCCAGAATTCACCAACCACCCGGCGCCAGGATTTTCAGGGTTTTAGGTCAGGAGAGGGACAAGGGTGGTTAGAAAGAGAGAGAGAAGGAGAGGGGGTGGGGGAGTGCCTGTTCTTCCACCCCTCAGTACCTCCTGCTCACAAACACGGCTCCAGAGAGTCCACCGTGACCGTGAAGGTCGTGGTGGGGTGCGTTCTCTCCTCCAGATTGGGCGTCAGAGGTTTGCCTGACCATCACGGTCAACGCCCCTGTGTAGCCTGTCTGAAGTTGGATCCCGATAGGAGAACTCACCTACTGAAGAGCCAGTGTTGTGTGAGTAGCAGCAGCGCTCAAAAGAGTGGACGAGGACAGCAAGCCTTGAGAGAGGGGGCCCTAGAGCATTCCCCCTCCCCGGGTTTCGGCACCAATGAAAGAACGGCCGGACAAGACTCAACGTCAGAGAAAATGCTCGTTTATTGAGGAACAGCTCTGCACATTTATAGAGCCGGGGGCGGTTCAACAGAGCCAGGGTGTTTTCTGATTGGTGGGTAAGGATCATAAGGCTCAGCAGGGCTCACCATTGGGAAGCTCTTCCCGCCACTGTCTCGGGGGATGGGGAAATTAGTCGCCCGGGCGACTCCCAACACTGTCTGCTTTAGGACTAGAGGGAAATGGGCCAAAGGTCTCTGTGTTCTTTCATGAGGACCCAGTTACTGGAATTAGATGAAAACCATCCTCAAAGAATTGACCTTTGAGGACAAAGCAGCAATAAGTAGGTGGAATGAGTGCTGTCTCAGCCTCCAGTTTTTCTCAGGATCTTAGAAGTCTAGGCAAGACTTCAGGTTCCCATCTAAAGGGAGCTCACACAAGGTCTAGCATGGGATGAAGTGGATGTTCTCTCAGGTCAGCATTTGCCTCTTAGACCCCAAAGTGATAGATACTTCCCCCCACCCCATCTGTGTGGCAACAGAAGAATCTTGCTTTCTAGGAGCCTAGAACTTTTGGATGTGGGTGCTCAGATACTCAAGGTTGCTCTCTTCCCTGTTGTAGAGTCTGACACCTTTGTACATCAGGTATTCCACTGAGAAACCTCAGAAGCCAAAGAGGGAGACCAAGAGCCCCAATGACTAGTATTTTCTTGAAGACTTGAGGAGCAACCTGAAGAGGCTTGACCCCCTCCTCTGCAGTGGTGGGAAACTTGGGTGTAGCTATATGGGTAGCTGATGGCATTTCATTGGGGTGGGAAGTCACGTATGAGGTGTGGAGTTCCTTGTTGGTTCTGGCTTCAGAGCTCTTGGCATGGAGGTTTCTCTGTAGAGACCCAGGTCTTAGCACTGAGGAAGAGAGGCCGCCATGGATCTCCAGGGGCCCAAACCGTGGGCCCCTAGTGCCATGGGGGCCCTTTCTCTGATGGTCCTGCTTCTCCATAACTGTAGGGTCTTCCCCAGCCAGCCAGCTCTTTCCTACTCTCCCAGGTCTCTGAGCACAGTCATCCCTGTGCAGGGGTCGTGGGCACACCTGGTGTACAAGGGGTGACTATCTGCTCCTGGACCAAAAACAGAGTTAATTTACTCGGCACACTGACTGATCTGTGGGACATCTTGGAATTGGCAGCAGACAGCACCGGCCTCTTCTGATGGAGGTACGGATCCCCTGAGAGGAGCACTGTGTCTGCAGAAGTAGCTTCTTGGAGGTGCTTTGGCAAACTGCCAGGGCGAAGTCACTGGACACTTGCAGCACGGCCTTCAAGTTGATGCTGGGTCAGGGGCGTCTGTGCTACCACACGAGCCAAGGGAACAGAGTAGTGGGCCCAGTGAGCAGGCTCCAGGCAGCTGAGTCTTCTGGCAGGTCCTTGCCCCCTAGGGCCATGGGCACAGATGAGGGGCAAATTTTAGCCAGTAACTGCCCATAGAAGCAGTTGGGTAAAATTGGATAGTTGGTTTCAGAGCAGAGCTCTGAGTGTTCCTCTCCTTTAGCTGCCAGCTGGGCATAGGGAAGTGACTGTTTGGCCTGTGGCTGGGATGCATCTTTGGAATGCACAAGCAAAGAATGGGTACATGTGCGTAGAACACACTACCTTGCATGTGCAGAAAAAAATTCTGAAGAACCATCTGGTGTGCAAGGCTGGCACGCCCTGCAGAGAGACACCAGTAAGAGGCACCACAAAGAGCTGACTTGGGCCCAGGCTGCAGACCAGCCCCTGGCCCACCCAGGCGTTTGATCTCCTACTAAGAATTGGCGGTGATTAGCTTCAGGGCATTGAACTAGAGAGCAAGTCTGGGCCCCAGAGCTCCCGGGACATGACTCAGGACAGAAATCCTGCCCAGCAGAGGGGTGACTCCTGGCAAGTAAGTTTCCTGGATAAGCAGCTGCTCCATGAGGCGGCAGCTGTGGGACCCACACCTGTGTGTCCTGTCCTTACCTTGGAACACGTGAGTGGGCAGCAGCTGAGAACAGAAGTGCATGCACCACCTGGGGCCTGTTAAGGGGGCAGGCCAGGAATGGAGCAGGGCAGGCCGGGAGGGACATCCTACCCTAGGACTCTGCAATTCCATGCTTGGGCATTTAACCAAGAGAAATAAAAACTCTTGTGAATATTTTAGTGGCTTTAGTTTTTTTAGAGTTTCTCTAGTGAGCTTGCTTGTTAAATGGTTGTTCTGGGAACAAGTAAATGCCACTCTTAGCAAAATCTGGGTGGGGGAAAAAAGCGAACTTCAAATTGTTACATAAAATACCCTTGGGAGGGTGAAGCAGGAGGATCCTGAGGAGACCCTGTCTCTAAATAATAAAATAGGGCTGGGGATTTGGCCGGTGGTCAAGTGCCCTGGGTTCAATCCCTGTACCCCCACTCAAGATAAAATACCCCCCACCCCAGGATTTCCCTAACCTCAGGGCGCCTCCTGGCACAAGAGTCATCCCTACATTGGGGATGTGTTTCCAAACCAAGCAATACCTTTTCCAACAAATTCCATTTTGATTTCAAGTTTCCGTTTTCACTTAAGACAGGAAAATCATCTAGGCAAGCCCTGGGATTCTCTGCCCTCTCAGGTTTACAGTCACATTCTGCAGTTAACCCCCCACCCACCAGGCCTCCGTCCTCCCACAATGGAGGTGACTGGTTTGACCAAGTGTCCTCCCCACTGCCGATGGGCCTGCCCAGGCATGACCACTGGTGATGGGCTGGCTGGGGCTACCTTGACCCTTTGGCTAAGTTGGATGCTACATGGCAGGGACCCTTTGGGTGGACTCTCAGCCTAAAGTTGGATAAAAACCAACCTGCTAGTTCCTTTCACTCATCCTCTCACCAGGGCTGTGTCACACCGGTGGTTTGACAAACCTCTGCCCCTCTTCAGGACTGGCTACGTTTTATGGCCTAGGCTGCTATGGTTTGACAGGGTCCTTAGAGTTCATGTGTTGGCAACAAGATCCCCCGTGCCACATGGAGAAGTGGGATGTTGCAGAGGCCATTCACTGGTAAAGTTTCCACCATGATTAATGCCATCACCATGGGATGAAAAGCTCTCTCACACACCCTCTTGTCCCCTCACCTTGTGCCACTAGATGAGGCAGCAGGAGGCCTCTGGTATTGCATTACAGTAGCTCAAGATTAAGACAAAGAACCAAGGCAAAAAAATTCAGAAGCCCTTATGCAAAAAATAAGCAGGAAAAAAAAGTGGTTATTTGATACTCAATTATAAATATCTTTTTCCCTTAAAATATTTATACAACATACCAGAAGTGACAAAGACACATAAAGAGCAACATAAATTTACACAATAGAAAATAAGTGCACACACTTCTGTTCAGGTGTGGTCCCACTTTTATATAATACAACACTTCCTCAATATTTTATCTTGATAACTTGTAAGATTTTTGGCTTAATTTTTTAATATAAATATACCTTTAACAACTTTAATTCATACACTTGAAAGTGGCATCAGTCATTCCTGATAACTATATGATCATAAATAATCTCAATAACTTTGAAGAGGATCTTTTGTTGTAGTTTCAACCATGAGTGCAGCTGTTAAGGGCATTTCTTAGGCTATAACAATGCTGAGTGAATTTCTGATCAAGTAGTTCAAATTATAAATTTTATTATACCTATAGCTGATTGTACTTATGGAGTCAATTTTCTAAAATTATTAAATTCTCCAAACCCATAATTTCATGAATGTTTAGCTTCAACTGAAACATTTTTCCATCTTTATTTAGATTAAAGGTACAGTGTGGTGTTTTGATGAACATATACACTATGAAATGATTGCCATAGTTACACTAATTGACACATCCACCTATTCATGTGTTTTACCTTCTATGTGTGTGTGCGCCTGGTGAGAGCGTTTAAGATCTGTACTCTCAACAATCATTACAATACAGTTTTACTAACAGTTGGAAACTTGCTACCTATGAACTCTCCAGAGCTTACTCATCCTGCATCCATGAAATGTTGTCACCTTGGACCAATATTTGCCCATCTTTCCAAACACCAAGCCCCTGGCCCCCACCATTCCACTCTGATTTCATATCCAAAGAAGATCATACTGTCTGTATCAGCTTATCTTACTTAGCATAATGTCTTCTAGTTTCATCAATATTGTAGTAAATGACAGGATTTCTTTATTTCTAAGGTGGAATGACATTCTTAGCATAATATGGCTAACATTTTTGGTACATGCACATAATTTTTAAAAACTCAGTCAAGAAAAATAAAATTTTTTTCTACAGAGGTTATTTTCAATAGAGTGGTTTTTTAGGATAATATGGGAAAGGCTTTAAGGACAATCCTTGGGCATGCTATGACATAGAAAAGGTATCAAGGTGGGCGTGCTGCCTATGCCTGAAAACAGCAAAAGCCATTGGCCCAGAGTGATGTGGGACCAGCTGAGCACGAGCCAGCACAGGCATGTCGAGAAATCTAAAGGGTGAAAAATAAAAACCACACACTCACTACAAATAAATTCTCAGAGCTCAAACCAAATCACTCTAGAAAGAATGAGAAAATTCATGACTCTAATATCAAATGACTCAAAGGTAAATATCCAAGACAAACAAATACTGTGACTATTTAAACCTGAAGAAACTGAAAAACAATAATTATAAGAATGAAGTAATAATTTGGGAAGGAGGTAATCTGTTACATTTATAATGGACAATAACTAAATAAGGATTCAGAAAATGGGTAGCCACTTAAAGGGAATGACTACTGGTTTGGGTATAGAGTAGCAGTTGTCTTCTTCCAATGCAGGAACATCAAGCTCAAGATTAGATAAGGACAATAACAAGGGCGTTGATGAGGGAGAGTACTCACTAAAGGATGGGAAAAGCCAGAGTCAGCAAACGTAGAACTAGGGTGGCATATCTGTGAGCCTTGCATAGAAACCAGGGAGGAGAGAAGAAGTAAACACTGGAAAGTAGATTCCACAAGGAGATGTAAAGCAGTAGCAGCGCAGGGAAGGGCTATGCCTCATGGGGAACAGAAGGTCAGAGAGAGAAAAATATTTCAAAAGAAATGTAGCAAGAGGTGGTAAAAAAAAATGAGGGAGAAAAAAATCACCTTAGGACATCTGATTATAGAAATGTTCAAGGTCTCAGAAAGAACACAAAGCAAAGATACAAGGCCAATATTAAGAATGTAATTCCAATTTTTTTCCTGAAATGAAACAATACTTTGGAGTCATTTCTTCAAAAGAATTCTGATGAAAGCCAATGGTTATCCTACTAAAATCCTGGGCTTTACAGAAAAAGAAATCCCTTGGGGCATCTAGGATGAAAGCGCAAAGATAATGAAAAGCAGAATAGCTTTACTCCTTCAGAGAAGTCAGCTTTCCCTAAAGGAAACAGAGCCACATGTTGAAGATCTTCCATGAAGGACATGGGTGGCCATGGATGAGACAGCCCTGACATCCCAGGTGTCATGGAAGACCTGGGGTGATCCTGTTACCATTTTCCCTTCCAGAGGAACAAACACAATTCAATGAACAAAATCCTAGAAGGACCCTGATACAAGGACAGCTAGGAAGTGCTACTTCAGAAGTTACTGTGTTCAATTAAGGAAAAATGAGGGGGACAGGAGGCAGGGAGTGATCATGGTGGTGGTCACTGGTGGGGGGCACTACCTCTCTTTAGAGTGTTTTCCTGTAATGTGTTTTCTTTTACAGAAAAGGTTTTAAAATCAATGGGTACCAAGCAAATATTTAATACATAAACATCCAGTAAGTAGAGGACCAATATATGTACAAAGTAAACTTAAATGTGCACAATTGTATACACTATTTTACATGTGGGAGAGGAAAAGCAGCCAAGTGGCTCTTCCTCTGTGGCCTGGTTCTAGACACTACCCAGTGACCTCTTCTGAGCCCCAGAGCTCCAGGACCATAGATCACTGTCCTTCCAGGTGTCAGTGTAGGATTCTGCCACACAGACCCAGGTGTGCCATCCTGGGAAGACACCTAGACCAGGAAGGAAGTGCTCACTGGGGAGGGTGTGGAAAACCAGGAGGCTCCTTAGGCCCTCTTAGGTGACCTTGGTACCTGAAATCTTCAGAGCTCAGGTCAGCGGGTACTGAGACCTGCCTGCTGCCCTCTGCTGAGTGTGTGGTCTGTATGCTACTTAATCTCAGCTAGGTTTGCAGGGTGCAGTGTCCCCTTGCTGATGCCAAGGCTTCTGCAGAGCCCGCTGGGATGCACTGTTTGCAGGAGGAAAAGCCCTGCCCCGACTGCCTCCTCTTCACCCTTTCCCCAGAGACCTGAAAAGAGAGTCAAGCCCACCCAATTCTCTAGTGTATGTGAATGTCCTCCAGCACTGGATTCCCCTGGACATTCCCCTTAGCATCCCTTCAGGGAATATGTCCCTGGACAGTGAACGTGAGGCAGAGGAAAGGGGGTCTCTTGGATGCTGGGGTGGAAAGGCCGAGTCTCACACAGCTGGGTCCCCTGAGGGTCAGCAGGTCTGATGACACAGGGTGGTGCCCGGATCTTGCCCCTCTAGCCCTGCCCTCTGGAGGACCCATCCTTCAACTGCTTCTTGGATCAGATGACCATGCAGGAGACTCGAGTCCCATCTCCACACCAAAGAAAGAAGAAGAAAAAGGAAATCACTATGCTTGATCATAAAGCTATAAATTTGGGAATTTTCACAATTCTGACTGGATACAGTCACAGACAATTTTGCTTTTTAAAACATCATGAAGCCAGTTCTGTTTTTTTTAATTTACAAAATTAGAAAATATAACAAACATAAAAATTGTAATTACACCATCTAAATAGATTCTGGGTAATTATGATAGTGTATTTCCTTTTGAGTTTGTGTGGTTTTCACCTTTGACATACATACCAAAAGCCATCCAAATAACCTGAGTTTGAGAAATGGTACAATAAAGCACAAACCCTCCACCCAACTCCTGGAGACAGAGGGGCCCTGAGGAGTTGAGCTCCTTACTCCTAGCCAGGTTTACAGGGGGCAGTTCCAGGATCTCTCCAGTCCACAGGGATGCACTTCTGGACTAACTGAACTCCCCTGCTTGCCTGAGGGGTTCTGCTCACCTGTCTCCTCTTCACCTCATCCCCAGAGACCTGAAATGGGAGCATCAATTCCACAATATCCCACAACATCCATCCGTGAGCTGGGTGCTCCCCATATTCCTTGGAAGGATTGGGGATGCGGGCCTGGGTCCTGTAGGGATAGGATGATGACCCACTCCAAAGATACCTTCCACGAAGAAAACAAAGGGGCGAGCACATGGTGCCCTATGGACACCTACAACCTCTCCTAATTAAGACAGGCAGTGCAGGACTTGGCCTAAAAATCTTAAGGATTTCCAAGGAATGAATATCCATTCCCTGAGATATGTTCTCAGGGCACCCTTCATTTGCCTGCACTGATTTTAACCATAAATTTATCTGCCCCTTGTGTGGTCATGGTGACAGGCAGCAGTGGCACGGCAATGCTCTCATTAGCTCTGCTTGTTTTCCTAAGTGCAACAGACAATCTTCAGGAAGCAATGGGGAATGTGTGCCTTTATTTGACTTCTGCTTCCCCATCCACTCTCCACACTCACTTTTCCTCTCTCTGTTCTTCTTCACCTTGTTTTACTTTCTTGATCCCTTTTTTTCAGTCCAGGACAGGATTCCTGGAACCAGATTCCTGGCTGAAGTATTTGAATTTTTTTTTAATTTTGACAGAGGAAAAAAAGACAACGATCATGCACGTTTAGAGCCAACCCGGGCAAGAGAACCCAGGTGTGGGGTACCCAGAACAGAGCCGTACTCCTGCAGCTCTGTGCCTGGCCGTGCAGCATTTCTCATCACAGTGCAGAATCAGGGCAAGGCTAAGAAAGAGGGTGAGGAGGCCTAAAGAGGTTTAATGGGAGTTTGGAATTAGATAGGAGTGGAGGTGAGGAAAATGGCCAAGGATGTAGTTCTCAACAATCTTCTACAGACAGACCCAGAAGAATGTGAAGGAAGTCCAGAGGAAATATCCTTTAATTCCCCCATACCTGGGAGTATCTTTTGAACAAGGAGTGGACAAGAGGACAGAACAGAAAGTGATACTATAAGACCTGAAAGTGCAGAGGGGAGAGGTGATTTCTACCCTCCATCTGGCATATGCAAGACCTTTTTATCCTGTTTCCTGTAGTACATCTGAGGGAGTGTATCCCATTAGATTTCTTCCATTGTGGTTCAACACTCAAAACCCAGAACAAAATCTCTTGTTCATAATTCCCAAGAGATGCTGTCCAACTGCTTTCATGTCTGGGAGAGGCAGAAAATCAGGACAGAGCAGGTCCTATGGGGAAAACTGTTTAGCTGGTAGAGCAAAAAGAGAGGTTGCAAACAGGATGCTTAAAGCAAATAGAATTACTAGCTTTTGCTCATGTCATTAAAATATGAAAAAACCATATATCCCTGCTTCTTTCACCCTCTAGACCATGTATCTGTCTCCCAATATATAGGCAGACTCACTTCTCCCAGGGAAATTTTCCTACTGAGTCTTCAACTTCACTGCTCAAATCATATCATCTGCTGATGATCCAATCTGTAGAGACACAAACATCAGCAACAACATCTTTTGAGAGAGTAAATCACCCCTTTTTCTACATCAGTTGAGGTCAGTTCTGTCCTCTGGGCATCAACCATTCCTACATTCACACTTGCCCCTTCCACTTACAAAGTGAAGAGATTGGATCATTTGACTCTGACATCTCCATGTAGGCAGTATAAACAATAAATATTCAGCTACAGTGAGATTTGAAGTGTGAGATGTAAAGTGTGCAGTAGTGTTAGATTTTTTTAAATAAAATTGACACTTGAGCTGTACATATAATAGTTTTTACACACATTTCCACAAACATTCACAATCACTACACATGGATTTACTCTGAGATGCACACATATCCATACCACCAAAATAACAGGTGATTTAAGGACCATGGTAAATGGGCAAAACTCTCCCCTGGATTATCAGTTTCCTTCACCGCCATACCCCACTCCTTTTTCCAACACTATTCTATAATAAGGAGAGCTTTAAAGACATAAACAGATAAGAAACCCCACCTTCTCCCAGTACTTAAATTTTTTTCCTCAACATGGGTGGGAGTTGGGAAGACGTATAGTTTTCATTTGCTGCAGAATACAGCTGCAATAACAGAAAGGGACAGACTATGAGAATCAGATCATGTCCAGTCCTATGTGCACAGGTCTGTTGTTCACTAGAGATATTAGAAAATTAGATGGGAAACAGTAATATGGTCAGTGGCTCCAAAGTAAAGCCCAGAGGGCACTTGTAGAAAAGACAGGAGCTTCTCATGGGAGATTTTGCAAGGCCATTTTGGTCGGCACATGCAAAATGCTTTTTTCAGCCACGAAAGGTGCTACTGAGGAAATTGCTCAATGCTATTCAGTAGGCAACAGATGCTGTCTGCCATAAGTGATCATCATCTTGAATCAGGCATCAGTTATTAATAGAGTTGCTGTTGAATTAAATTTACAAGTCATCTATAATGTGCATGTCCAGATTTTCAAGTCTGAATTTGAATGAAAAGAAAGTAACCAATGAAACAGCATTTATACCTTAGACAAGGAAGAGATGCCTTACCTTGTGAATAGATGGGCCTCATCCTTTCCCTTGTCACACAGAATCGCCTCCATCAGGACCTCATGAGAATCTAGCAACAACAACAATAATTTTAAAAAAAAAAACTTGTAAATCCCAGTACCTTGGTATTGCTGAAGAAATACTCAAGGGGATTTCTTGTGTGGACAAGGGTTAGAATGGATGAGGATTGTTGATTCTCATGCAGTTGCTTCTAGAATATGCTCTTTAGTGGATAATAGAATGAGAAAGAGAAGACAAGGAAAAAAGATGAAAAACAAACAAAAATGCATCATCTACTGTTATAGTGGAAGAAGTGAACACCCTTTTATAAGTACTTGACACATGTATCAGGAAGAGATGAGTATAGAACCACACATCTCTGTTATGTGTCAAATTGCCAATAGGATGTATGGGAATATGGTGACCTTCTTATTCAGTAAGACTGTTGTTCTCATAGCATAGGGGAAAGATCCACAGGGCACAACTGCCATGTGATGATGGAGGCAGAAAATGAACTGCTGCCATTGTGAGCCAGGAAAATCAAGAATGGCAACCAAACCAGCAGAAGCTAGGAAATTCCTGACAAGGAAAGATTTTTCCTTGAGGTTTTTAGAGGGAGTATGGTACAAACTTCAGAATGCTGAAACAATGCAATTTTAGTATTACAAGCCAACCAATCTGTTCCTTAGTCATGGTTATCCTAGGAAACTAATCAAATTGTTATCAATCAACTAGACTTAATTGACATTTGCACATAATTCCATGTAACAATGGGAGAATACACTTCTTTCACAATATCAGTGAAACATTCACTAATATAGACCATAGAGGTAGAAGAATATTGCAGTTCAGAAGAATCAATAGTGCTAAACCAGCTCCCAAGAGTGAATTAAATAATCAGTTCTTCAGCAGCAAACTGAGAGGCTTTGTAGGTTGAATTAATACATGGACTACAGGAAGCCTGTGTGGTAAAGCTGAGATAAACAGAAACAAGCCCCACAGAAAAGGAGAAGATGAGTATATCTAAGAGCTCTAAATAAATAAAATAAATAAAAGGAGACAGGCAAACAAGCCCCTCACTTACAATCCCTCCAAAAGGAATCCATAGATATCTAAGGGTCGAAATTACAGAGAAAGACTACAAAAAATTATTATTGAAATGATTAATGAGGGCTGGGGTTGTGTCTCACCGGCAGAGCGCTCACCTCACATGTGCAAGACCCTGGGTTTGATCCTCAGCACCACATAACAAATAAATAAATAAAGGTATTGTGTCCAACTACAACTAAAAATAAATATTAAAAAAAGAAATGATTAATGAGCTTAAAGAAAATCCAAAAAATGGATTAAAGGAGCAAATACAGGAGGTGAAAGACCATTTCAATAAAAAGAGATTCTGAAAACACACCAAATCAGAACTTTAAGAAATGAAAGACACAATCAATCAAATACAAAATTTACTTGAAAACATCACCAACATATTAAGCCATGTAGGGAAATTACCCCTCAGGTCTTGAAGACAGGGCATACAAACTTGAACACTCAGTAAAGAAAAAAGAAGACCATGATCAGAATGTACAAGAAGTCTTGAGTCATTGGAACTGAAGGAGGCAAGGAGATACAGGATAATGGCATTAAGACCCTTTTGAATGAAATAATAACACACAATTTCCCAAATGTTAGAAATGAGGTAGACATCCACATACAGGATGCATACAGAAGACCAAACAGACAAGAACTTCTCCCAAAGCACATTGTAAACAAAATAAGCAAATAAGAATAGAAAATTTGAAGCTGCAAGAAAAAAATCAG